GTATATGAATTTGTTGACAAAGTGATAATGAATCATAATATGATATTATATACAGGGTGTTCCATTTGAAAAATCAAAGAAGTCGCTACTTTATAGTAGAAGCGACAACGCCGCTTCGTCTAAAATATTTTAGGCGTGTAGGTCATATTATCTCATGCATACTGTGGAATTTTCAGGTTGATCCGTTGAATAGTTTGCCAGAAACGGCTAATTAACGCTCATCATGAAAAGCCCTGTATACACAGTGTGAACCATTATCAATGGAAGCACCCTTATAAAATCTATATTTTTCCATGAGACAGACATTCAAACAGTCTAAGACACAAAATTTCATGAATTATTCAACATTTTCGGGGCCAACTATTCTTATTTTTCAAGGTCAAATTTGAAAAAAAAAACTAGAGATAACACTAACACTGGATTCGTGTTTTTTTCAAATGATCTATGTCAAAGTGAGGAAGAAATGTATCCACTGATAAAAAAGTTATGAGTGAATAAAATTTGAAAAATATGCTGTTTCGAGATATCACTGTTGAAAATTTTAACAAAATCTGTTCATCAATGAAAAAAATATAAGGGAGTCAAATTTGAAAAATTTGTCGTTTAATGGAATTTTGACTAAAGTATTTCGTAATTGTTGCGGGGTAATTGCAGCACACGCTTGCTGAATTCTTGTGCACAGTTCCGCTCGATACCTTGTAGACATTTTCTGTGACATAGCTCCATAGGAAAAAACTCCAGTATAGGTGGCCATCCAATTAATCTACTCCCCCGTCCTATCGAACGATTAGGGTAGTTTTGATTCAGCCAACTAATCACAATTCCCGCATTATTCGATGTTGCATGTCCGTTAATATTAACTAAAAAAAAAACCACAAAACTTACAAAAATGACAAAGGTTGGCTGTCAAACGCATTAATCGTAGAAGGTAAAGAGATTCGTAAAATATACAATGAAATAAAAAACTGTCCTGAAAATAAATTACTTTACATGGAAAGGAAAAAAATATATAGAAAAAACATAAAATTTGCCAAATTGAATTATTACAATAATAAAATAATAAATGCTGAAAATAAATCCAAAGAGACATGGGCTCTAGTTAATAAGAAGCTTGGAAGGTCAAAAACTGGTTTTAAAAATATTACTCTGAATATTCAAAACAATTTAACTGCTGATGGGAAAGAAGTGTCAAATTGCTTTGCTTCCTATTTTTCTAGCGTTGTGCCTGATCATATCGCCGAAAATTTCGGATATAACTTATCTTTGCCCTGTACTTTGTCTGAACATAGGATAAATTCCATATTTTTTTATCCAGTGAGTGAAAATGAATTAGCAACTGTTATAAGCAATCTTAAAAATAAAAAGTCGGCTGGTTTGGACGGTTTCACTACTCACATCATAAAAAATATTTGCAATAACATCATAGACCCACTGCTTCACCTCATAAATCAGTCATTTCTTAGCGGAGAGTTTCCTGATCTTCTCAAAATAGCTTGTATAATCCCTATTTTCAAAAAAGGCTGCATAAGTGAAGTAGAAAATTATAGACAAATATCCTTGCTAAGTGCATTTTCAAAAATTATAGAAAAAATTCTCTACTGCCGCATTTTAGCATATATTGAAGGTACATTTATTTGTGACATTTGTGATATTTATTTGTGTGTGATATTTAAGTGACGTGCCAAATATACACTATTGTATCAAATATTGGTGAATAAATATTCTATTCTATTCTATTCTATGAACAGAACAGCCAACTAACTGAAAATATAAATTTTTTGTTTCTGCAAGGGGAAGTTCATCTATTGCGTCCGACAATTCATTCCTTGAAAATTGTGAGAAAATTGCGGCATTGATGTTGTTGTCAAAAAACAATGGTCCAATTATTCTCCCAATCAGTATTCCACAGCAAACATTTACTTTTTCCGAATACTGCCTTTTACAGTTAATCACCCAGTTAGGATTTTCAGGGGCCCAATATTTGAATATTTTGTGATGAAACCACTCCATTTGTTGTAAAACTAGCTTCGTCACTGAATAAAATATTCTTTAAAAATGTATGTCGTTATGTTACCCGTCCTGGGCCCATAAACAAAATTTCAAACGTTTTTTTTGATCACTTGGTTCTAGAGTGTACAAAAATTTTGGTTTAAATGCCTTCAATTTGTTTTTTAACAGACATCGCCGACGTATCGTAACCTAAGTTAATATGTAAATACCACGCCCAATGATTTTATTATTTTTTCAATCTGATTTATTCCGTAGATTACTGAGGAGAGTGATATGATGACTGCTACCTAGGACCTTCCAAACCATTTTTTAGTTTTTAGTACATTATCTAGTTCATTATTATTATTATTTTCTCATAACATAAACATTTTTTCCTATTTTATTTTCAAATTTTCAGTTTTTAATTCTGTTACTGAATTTTTCTCATTTAGTTAATTTAGTGCCACAATATTACTAATTATTATGTAATTCGTCATTTTGTAGTGCGGCCATCTTCAATTTGCATATTTTTCAGAGTGTACTACTATTCTACGAGTCAATCATTTAATACCCACAGTGAGGTAGTTGTGAAAAAATATGTAATCCGCCATTTTGTTGCTGCAACCATCTTGAATTCACAATGGCACAGAATCCATTAAATTTTATTGTCATCAAAATTAAATGTGTGTACCATAGTTTAGATCAATCTGTCAACAGGAAGGGGGTCAAACTTCAATTACTAAATACTAGCACATCGACACAAAACTCATTAGATATACTGATCGTATGAATATAGTTCATATTTGTTGTATTAGGTTGTTTCAGAAGTTTTGTCCGCTTTGATATCATGTGTTTTTGTAGCATTATTTCTCATTGAATATTCATGCGCTGCGAAACAGCCCGAAAAATGTTCCAGACAGAGTTGCTTTGCGAAATTTCTTCCCGGAGAAAGTTATCCAGGACGAGGATTTGGGTATCCTGGTGGAGACTGACCCTTCACAAACGGTGCATGGGATGACGGCGAAACTAGGCGTCAGCGGCCATGCGATTTTTGCTGATTTAAAACCTATTGGAAAGGTCAAAAAGCTCGAAAAGTGAGAGCCCCACGATTCAAACGATCGAAAGAAATTTTCACGTTTCGAGGTCTGTTCTTTTTTATTTTTGCGCAACCAAAACGATTTTTTTTTTAATCGGGGCGTCTCGTGTGATGAAAAGTGATTCACATAACTTTTTGCAACCGGACCAAACCATCACATCGAAGCCCTGTTTTGAGGAGCACTTCGATAACTTTCTCACCGGTAGAATCTTCGCCAATCAGGTCCAGCAAAACGGGCTGCGTTGCCTTCATCGAATCCCGAGCATCCAATTTTTATGCTAACGGAATTGATCACTTGTGTTAATTTGGTGAAAAGCGAATCATTGAAATAGCGCTAATTTCGATTCAGTTGAATAAGTAATCACTGATATATTACAGATTGAAGTAGAGTCATAAAAACGGACGAAACTTTTGGAACAACAGAATATCATACGACTCAAACTTCTAAGACTCCTTAATTGTTTAAGATCGACACAAACTGTCCAAACCGAAGATGGGGACCATGGGGACCATGCAATGTAACCTGTGGATCTGGTTACCAGTCAAGAATCATATTACCACAAGATGATAGTCCTGGGGATGATGATAACAATGAACAAGAACATGTTTGTTCAAAGCAAGAAATCGTGGAATGCAATGTACCGTGTACAGGTAATTTATTCGAGTTAATAACCCTGCAGAATATGTTTAAAATTATTCCAATGAAATTACACTGTTTCAGAAATTTCAGGTGTGATATCACATCAAACTGAAAAATTAGATGCATATGACATGAATCAGGTGGGTCAAAAAATTTCACAGGTATTCGCGATAAGATTGCAAATACCTTATTGAATTCAGCATTTACTGATATACGGAGACCATAAAAAGTGTGTAACTAGTGATATGAAATACACGCTCTCAACCATAAAATAATTATAAAAAAAAAGGTTACAGATTCAATTTTTTCAAGAAAGCATATCATATCGCAATCATTCAATGGAGGAAATAAAAATAATGACTTACGCGAAACAAGTACGCTTTTAATAAATTATGGACCACTTTTCACAATATCAAAATAGTTGTTGAAGAATTTTGTTACCTCTGTTTCCTAGGTGATCAGATTTTGCCTACGTCTGATGAGGACATCGTTTTCCAACTCTTCGAAATAGCTTTTCAATAATTCCGCCTGATTGAAATGCGCCCTCATGTAATGACTTCGTGGAAAATAGAGATACATGCGTTTATTGACCATAAATCACCATTCACGGATGATATGAATATTATCGTGATTGAAATTTTAATAGGTTCGGAACATCAGGAACACTAAATTTAACCAACAACGAACAATATTGGAATTCACAAGATTACATTTCTTTGATTTAAGAGTTGTGCTAATGGCATAAATTGTTAAACTTCTGAATCTTATACTACGGCTTTTACTAAGAAAACATCATGTGGCAAATGTAAGAAAGTGGATTAGTGACAAATGCAATAAGATAAAGAAAATGAACCTGCAATATGCAGCTGATAATAGTTTTGACGCATTTCATATGTGAACGCTCCCCTTTTAGCCCCATGAGGGCCCCCCAGTTGTAATATTTCAAAATCCTTTTTTAGTGCGCATCTTAAACTCAAGAAGCACCTATACACCAATGTTAGTTTCCTAGGACGGAAACACAGACATGAATGAGTCTAAAGTGAGTGACTTTCGTATTTATAAGTATATATTGTTTTTCTAGAAGGTTTATTGGTGGACGCGTATCGAAAGAGTGCCCCCAAAGTCTCCAGATCCAAAGCTCTTGTAATTTTTTGTATTGTTGAATTAGAAACTTTATATAAAAAGTCTGCGGAATCTACAGGAGTTGGAAAATTCAATTTGTGTTGATATTAGCAAAATTACTTCGGAAGATATTCACAATGTGTAATCCTTGGAGTATCCTTAGATTTTCTCAATATCGAAAGGCTTGTGAAATACTGTAACCATAGAATTTTTTTATTGAGTTATTTTCTACTGGAGTGAAATGATTGGTTTCACTCTCCAAACAAATCATATTAGTTATCATAACCAAATGCAATATATTGGAAAAACTTTCAGATCAGTATCACAAGACCTATATTTCAATTCACAATAATCTCTGATTACGTCACTACGTAAAAATAGCTGATATTGAATTCAGTTCCTGCTTCACTATCGCAATAGTGATTAACGATACTATGATGTCTCGATTTTATCCAGTTGTTGAAGGGAAAATCAAAAACTGATAAAAAAATTGAGATTTGGAAATAGCTGACTAGGTTAACTGAAGATTTTTTCAACTCCAGACTCAAACGAAGAACAATCAACTAGAAGAGGCGAAGACTGTAGAGTATCCTGGTCAGCATGGAGTGACTGTGACTTAAATGGAGAGTCTTGTGGGCAGGGCGTGACTAGGAGATCTTATTCTATTCTGGTAAGCAATTGTCCAATTGTATCAAATTACTGGGGATATTATTGATTTACTTGATATAACTTCCGTCCTCGCAGTAGCAGATGCCTACTATATAGCCCGAACTTTGTGTTCTCCAATCTACGGCCGTAAAAACCTATGTTCTTATATAGGACATATGAGTTCATTATGATGAAATTATGTTGAGGATTCGATAATGTAGTCCAAATTAAACATATCTGCATTTCTTTTGATGCGTATTTGTTTACTTTTTGCACCGTGAAAAAATGATTCCCGAAATAAACATGAAGTATTACTTTCTGAAGGATTTATTTTTATTAGAGTCAATTATTGATTGATTATCCATCATAAAACAATTCCATTTATTGGATTGATAATTCATAGCAAAGTTTGAACAATTACTTCCAACATCTATCTTCTTGAAAATAACTTGAAATTGAAGCAACTACAAGCAAACAGCGGCGTGTCAACCGTTTCTATAGTAACGACACATAAAGACCACTGGATGCTGTGAAACTGGAGAAGGAAAGGATTAAATTATTTTGGACTTATTTTTTTCAGACAAGAAAAACTTTTCAATACAATTTTACTGGAAACATTGAATAATATTTTCAAGACAACAGTCTTTTAAAAGCGATAACTTATCGGGACAAAAAATCACGTCAAAGTGTATTGGAAGTATTTATTTTTAATATATTTCAGATGATGCAAATCCACATTCACAGTTGTATTTCGTGTATAAAATTCGTGCTTTCAGGGCACATTCGACAGAATGTGCCACTCTCATGTGCCATTGAAAAAACACTCATTTCACGCTGTTAATACAAAAAATGAATATTTTTTTCCATATTGGATTTTGTAATTTACCATTTCTAAGAGGCAATTAAAATAATGAATGGTAAAAACGATGACGTCCACATAAATACATATTTATATCAAATTTTTCTATAATCAAATTATTATAATACTATTTGAACAAAAGGTTGAAATAAAGATTACTATTGTTTTTGAATAATAATTGCACAATGTCTATTGAACATAATAACAAACGACACAAATATGCTGATAATATCGTTTTTTCCACCTATCTGAAAAAGTTTTGAACAACGTTAAATCATTACCAAATTCTTACAGCTGATTTTCAGAATTGATGAAATGGAACGTTTTTAATGAACTTTGAAAATAATCTGAAAACTACACTGTTTGTCGACCAAATAGTTTCCTAACTTCATTAGGTGTATATGGAAGTTTCTGAAAGCACTTCAAATAGTAAATATACAATATTTCAAAAGAATGTTGATAGTTTTAAAATACACTCTGAAATCAATTTGAAAATTTTTCAAGATGGGAACTTTTTGCCTTGAACTCATTTATGGCGCTATTGGTTTTTGTTACGTTGAGGTACTTTTTCTCCAATGGAGGTGAAAATAGATTAATCAAAATTCATTTTCAAGTTACAGTTTTATTCGTTTCATTTGAAGGAAATATTGTATTTCCGAAGGTAGTATATTTTTTGATTTCCTTGGGTAATTTTTCTACTATATTTTGTTTTTGTTTCAATTTCTTGAATTCAACCGTACAGGTTACTCCTATATATTTTCATATATCTTTATAAAATGTGTATTCTTATTTATTTCAGTTTCAGCAATTTGATGAAAATCCTAAGACGCGGTTCAATCTAAGTACTTCAATTCGTGTCTGAGAATGCATCTAGTTTTCCACTATAAACCATAATATTTGTAAATTGAATTGCGATAGTTGGGAAATAAACCGTGACGCACAATTTTGAATATAATCGATCATGGTTTTCTTATTTATCGCAAATTTGATCGAAATATGTGTGTACTATATATGTATATCAATTTCAAAACGTCATCACTTTCACCCATTGTATCTAGGTAATATTCGGATTCCTTCCATTTGGATTCCAGGACATCGGTTGCCAATGCATATCTTCATCGGCAGTAGGAGGTTGCGTATCTTGATGAGCATCTAGAGGTGATTTCGAATTGGGGTGAAAGTAACCAAGTTCATTGCAATGCCACGAAAACCCAAGCATCGGTTTTCTCCAAAAAACTGAACCAGATATAATAATGTCAGGACAGACAATTCAGCTTTCTGCTTCGATAAGTTTGTTGGGGGTTGAAATGAACACCAATATGTCTTAACACAATCATGAGTTGCAAAGTCTGCTTCTCAAAAGCTCAAAAGACTGTTCCGAACCGGAAAACTGTATACACCTCAAAAACTCTTGATGCTTTATAAAACTCAGATCAGACCTTTTTTTTTGAGTATTCTTCTCATTTATGAAGCTCCGCCCCTGAGCTGCTGAATAGATTATAGATATTTTCACGAGAGGTGTTCAAGTGACTTGGCACATTCAATTGCATCAAGAGCGGTAGATATCAAAAATACTGTGACTGCTCATAGTTTTGAGGTTACACTCAGTACACCTCAAACTTCACTGTTTGATAACTCTTTCATTTGGAGAACTGCGTTTATATGGAATAATCTTCCTGAGAACGTTTCTTCAAGTGAATCGCTAATTTCGCACAGACAACGCTCTTAGAACTCCTCAAGGATTCTCCTATAGTGCTAGTGTTTTCTTCTTTAAAAAATCTCTAGCATCGATATTGATATCTAACTATCGTACTCATCTTTGTATCCGTTAACAACAGTACTCAACTAATTGTCAATTCCTTAAACAAACTGTAACCTATGGATATCTCATGATTCACTCCCATTTTGATTTTGAAAAGAAAACGATAGCCGGTTGGGTTGACATGGGTAATATGCTCTACTCACTCAATTGACCGCTGTATGGACTGGTGGTTCGAACGGCAAGCCCGGATAATCGATTTTCACCTTCCATCCTTCTAGCAGTTCTAGAAATCACATGTTTTAAGGTGAGATCTCGTTATTCCTCAACTCGCACAAGTTTCGACTTTTGAAGGGTGTCGATCGCGAAGCAGTGCAATAGCTGGTCAACAAAAAAAAACAGATTTTGAAAGAGACATTCTTTTTTTATTTTCGTTGTTGAAATCTAGTTCACAATTGTCATTTCACACAGTATATTTGTTTGAGATTATGGCTTTGGATAATAAACTCATTGGATAATAAACTCATAAATTGGTGACGATATTTCCTACAAAAATTGCATTTATGATCTTCTGGAGCAGTGTTCAGTACATGTTTCTGGATTTTCCAAATGTAAAAATTTGGCAATAATTTTTGGTTGGTCACCCAACTTATTGAATCCAACAATCTGACGAGTGCATTTCCCATTTTGATAATTCAAAAAAAAATTATAGTTGTCAATATTTTTTGATCGCATTGCAACGTAGAAATAGATTTGAATTGCTACATAATTTCATTTTACCACAACCCTCTGAGAAATATTTCGTATATATAATTATATCATTCACGTGAAAAAAACTTCCAGCAGTGGGTTTTGACCTCCGGTTATAGAAAAAATATATGCATTATATAAAAAAGTTACTGCTGAGCTACTCTGGCAGTACTAGAGTAGTGTTACAGTCTTCGTTCGGGTTTGAAGGCCGTCATGGTTTGGAACTGTATCGTAACGTTTCGTCAGCGGGAGTGGCTGGCTTCTTCAGAGGTCTATTCATCGTGATGGTTCAATTTATCATAACATATTCAACATAATTGATATTCATTTTGTGAGTGAATAAATAAATTTGAAGAGTTCTAAATAATATAATAATGTCAAATACAAATGCGAACAGGTATTTTTTGGTCTGTGAAATATTTTCAAATCCTTTTGCTTGGCTGTTTGTTATAGTTCATAGAATTAACGAAAGGAGGCTTTGCTTCAAAGGCGTCTGGCAAATGAAATATGTTGACTGTTGGCTGGTGATGTTGAATATTTCAGTTTTAACGTCTATGTTGTGTTCAAGTATTCCAAAAATTGTTGCAAAAATTTCATAAAAAATTAATAGAAGGAAAAGCGGAGTTGTGTTACCTTCGAACACAAATATCTGGATCTTCCTAAATGAATTGATTCATTTGTACACTGGTGAGCGTCGATGATTTCTTCGGTTTATAACCATCAGATTCGCGTAATCACTCATTTTGAATTTTTACGAGATTCTGAATGACAGCTCATAGTTAAAACAAATTGTTTTTGATACACGGACATAACTAGATTCATTACCAACCCACGAACTGTTGAACCATAAATTCACTGAAAATATGACTTTTATTTCGATTTTACAGAGAAATTGGAGAGAAAATTCAGTGATTTGGCTTTTGGATAATTGAATGTATTCATGAAATCATATTTATCAGAGTGAATGTTACATATTATGTTGAAAATTTCTTACAGAAGTGGCCGCCATTAATTTAGAATACACTTATATTCTAAATAAGCCATTATCTACCTGCTGTCAAACGCGTAATGATTAGTTGAAAATGGAGGGAGTAGAAATAGTATATTATATACCTAGGGTGAGAAGTGAGCTATTATTTACCGAGCATTTTTATATCCTGAGGCACGTAGCGCCGAGGAATATAATGTGAGAGGTAAATAATAGCTTTCTCAGCCGAGGTATATATAGAATTTTTTCCACTACTAACATTGATATATTAACAATTTTAATTTTGGCATTAGTAATTTTCTAACAATTTGTTGAATATATCGGAATATCAAGTAGAGTGGGGCGTGTTTCTAATGAGACTGGCTTTATTTATGTAAAAATTTGGCATGTGTCAAATTTTGATACGAGTCTAGGAAATATCTCGTTGCATTTCGCAGTTGTGGAATTGGCCGCGGTGATAGTGCGCCCGATTCACGATCGGAAGATCGTGGGTTCGATTCCTGCCTCGACCAGATATTTTTCTCGAGAGAATTTATCTAGTTGAAGCTGGGATGATTCTGCAACCGTGTTAGGAATCACACGTTAAAAGGTAAGACCTCGTTAGTCCTTAGCTCGCACAAGTTTCTCAACTTCTGAGAGTTGTCGTTCGTATGGGGGCGACAGCTGATTAACGGAAAAACAGATTTTAAACAGATTTTCTCAAACAGATTTTTGATATTTTTCAATGTTCCATTTCTCTCATTGCTTCTGTATGTTCAGAACTTAGAATTTCTCAATTCTGCATTATAGTGAGAAAAAAAATTCCTTGGTTATATGATAACCCAAGGCAGCTATGAATTGTTGCATGTCAAATCGAAACGGTACAGTTTCCATGTTGAATACGCGATGTCGATGATAAGCGCGCATCATCTACTTATGCCATGATTATTATTGCTGTCAGTTTGCCAAATGAAGTTTTAATTCAAATTTAGATGTCATTTTGAAGAAGTTAAAAGATCTATATGAGTAAAACGTCAATATAATTAATTGGAAATTGGGTGAATTGTTCTCATTATTTATCTAGGTGTTTTTTTATTATCATTATTTACCAAGGGTGAGAAATATTAATTCTCGTTAGGGGAATAGAGTAAATGATAGCAATTTCTCAGATTATAGTGGGAAAAATACTTTACACACCAGCAAGAACTTTAAATGTGACTTAAAATAAAATTCGTGAGCTGTAAACAATACTGTTCGTTAGTAACCAGGTGATTCGGCGTCACCTGACACGGTTACTTCACAGCAAATGCGATTACATGAAAATAGTTAACTGACAAGAGATGTCACAATATGTTTTTATAGAAATATTGAATTTATCTATTTTATTATGAAAACAGGACAGTTGTACAAAAAACTCTGTATGATGTTTGTGTTAAAAGTGAGTTTTATTTTGTTCGTGGAATTGCTCAACTCGCAACGCTCGTTTCGCAAACTTTTTCACTCACAAAAAACCCTACTTTCAACAACCACATAAGAAATTATTGCGATATTATTTTGAAAATGTATCAAACCGTTATTCAGATTTTTCAGTGTGAGTACCACAATTAAAGTGAATACGTATTGATTCTATATGAACGGCAATATTATTGAAGCCATATTACAACACCCCTGGATATTACTTACCGGTGAATAAAATATCCCAAATATTTCTGACCCATAGGCCTTTAATATAGACCTTTACTTGGATATTAATTTGTTATCTATAGTATAGTAGTTGAGTTCTATATAAATCAAATTTCTATTTGATCTAATTCCCAATTCCAAATAGCCGTTAAATACAGTTAAAGAAAAGTATCAATTATTCAAAATTCCATTTTATGTAGGCGAATCCTGAGGAAGGAGGAGAACCATGTCCACCCGAACGAATTCAAGAGAAGATCTGTTCAATACCTTGTGAGAAAGAATCTAGAAAAAGCCAAATTGCCGCTAACTTCTACAAAAAACACGGCAATTCAGGATCATGCATAATGTCAAAATGGTCTGACTGGACACCGTGCAGCTCAAAATGTGGAACATCTGCATTACAACAAAGATCGAGAAAAATCATCTATAAACCTCCAGAAGTAGGTGCTTGTCCACCGCGACTTGATTATAAACCATGCAATTTGCCTATAGCTTGCACCGATAAAGGTGTTCCAATTTACTTATAATTTTTTGTATTGTATGTTATATTTTTTTACTAAACTGAATACAGTTTGAAATTATCGAATCGAATGTTCAAATTGTGTTTTATTCTCCACTTGACGAAACCCAAGGCGATACTGAAAATCTCGCAGAACTTTCGAGATTATTTCATGTCCAGTAAAAAAAATATACTGGAGTAATGTTTGGAGATCTTGCTAGTCATTTTACGGTTCGGCGTCTTCCAATCCACCTACATGAAAATATTTAGTCCAATACTGAACGAGAGTCATCTTTTGTGGAGGAATGTGAAAATACACAAAGAAGGTCGTTGAAAATTTCGTTTAAATGATCGCACACTGGTCTGAAGTAATGTGGTGGCGCGCCATCTCGTTTGAAACACACAGAACTATCTGTCATTTGGATTCGTTGCAGAAATTTCTGGAATAATATGTCATAGCATCAAATTCACTATTTCACCAGTCAATGAACCTTTGTGAACTGCTTGTGGATACAGGGTATAAGCCTTCATTTTCGAATGAGATTTTCAGGAGCCCAACATTGAGAATTTTGCCGATTCACTGTACCATTCGGCCGATGTCCGACAACCCATCAGATGTTTCCAGATGTATAACCCGTGGTTTGCAGGATAATGATAATGTATGCCAGAGTAGCAGACGAAACTTCAGTTATATAAACCTGCAGGTCACTGCTAATAAACCCAGAAACATCCAATAATTCGATCTTGATTGAGTTCGTGAACTGAATGCACTTTGAAAAGATGCTTCTATGTTTTTCATGCCACTCATCCCAACAATATTGTTCCCCATACTAGTCTATACAGTTCTTTTACTGGCATGTCATGCCATTCTGAACATAATTCAGGTTATCGATAATTTTTTTGACTCTTGTGAACCAAACTTCACATTCGCATAAAATATGACGAGCTGTCTCTGTATTTTTGTTGCATTGCCTTCATCTAAGGTTATTCGGATGACTTTCGAATCGACAGTTTTCGGTAAAAAGCCCTCAGCCGATCCCTGCTCCATTGAAGCAAGTCTTTGGTTTCCTTCTTCGTAGTCCATTCATCAAGGCTTTTTCGTGTGTGTTCCCAAATGAGTTCTCTCAGTACTCTTTATATTTATTATAGACTCATTTACCAATCTGCTTCCGCACCAAATATTTTGGTACTCTCACACCTCCATATATTGATTCAGGGCCAATATATGAGATTAAGTATCCGTGTGTGGCACACTCACCAGCTTTTTTGTTACCCAGTAACAACAGAAATAGACAAATCTCCTACATTGAGGATAAGAACTGCCCCCCTCTACACAAATCAAGCCAGAATCTACTCCTCGCTCCCCCTGCAATCAGGAAATAGAGAATCATGGTGGTGGATATTTGGTAGTTTCTGATATCGATGAGTATTTAGTCTATGCGATCCAGAGGCAGCGAAGTTCTAAGAACCCAAAAGAGCTTTACGAATTCCTTCGGCGGTTATCGCTTCGCATAGTTCAGACCACTGAAACTTCCCCCCATAGGTGAAGATTGGCTCATTGAACTTATAACTGCCATTTCGCGACTTAGTTTGGAAGGATTGTCTGGTGCTGTCGAGAATGTAACTTTCAGTTGCGTTTCATCTTAAATTCCTGGACGACCCTTTGCGAATGTTTCCTTACGTATCTTAAATTTCAAAATTTCTTCTCCACTTTGCCACTGTTAATATAACAATCAGAGTATTCATTGTTGAATATTTGTCAAAGTTGAACTTGTATTTCAGACCTCTCACCATAACTAATCATCAATAATATTTCAGTTGTCTGAGTCTCACAAATGTACTACTGAATTTAAGGACAGTTTGACAAATAAATAATAACGATCAATTTTACGTTGCTGAGCCAATGTAAATAATAACAGAAGAAAAGAAGAATTTAACTACTTCAAAGTTTTCCAACGGAATACCAGAGTTGAATCAAAAGTGTTTCGATGTAAAATTAAGTTTGTCACCGCATTGTACATAAAGACACTGCACGAATGTGCCTTTTTTCCAAAATTTCAATAAAGATTGGTTTCAAATGTGTGAGTGATGTTAGATGTAATTTACCTATTGCGATTGTTTCATTATAGGTATAACCTAAATGTTTTATTTATATTAACTATATATAATTTTGATGTGATATCTGTATACAATTTTTCTAGTGCTTTTTTTGTTCATGCTAAATGTTTCTATTTACATTGACTATATATGATCTTAACGTAATAACTGTATACAATTTTTCTAGTACTTTTTTTGTTCATACCGAAAGAAACTTTATTTTTTATATTTCATTCATTATAATCTATTGTATATTAAAATGATATAGCCCACGCACAGGTTTATCCTTCTGTGGGAACTATATTTATTTGTCGTTAATTGGTATTTCTTTTCGCTACGGCCCTGCATGTGATATCAACGACTTTGCGGTGTTTGATCCGACCATGAAGAGCAAGTTTTTTTTTTAAGTCAGCAATTAACCTCTTTATCTCTGTCTGCTCATATACTCGTTAAAAAACTAGGCCAACAACGAAGAGTATGCGTCATAAGTTAGTCCTTAGCTTCGCACAAGTTTCGACTTTTGAGAGTTGCCGTTCGTAGGGGGGCGAGAGCTGGTTAACGTAAAAACAGATTTTAACAGAGACATAACATTATAGATGTCAATCAACAACTTATAATATGGAGCCAAACATATTATCCATCGGATACTCTTTGACATAGAAAAATCCCGCCTCTCGACATATCAAGCCAGAATCTGCTGCTCGCTGCCCATGCAATCCGGAAATGGAGAATCATCATCATCAGATGGTGGTGGATATTTGGTAATTTCTGATACCGATGAGTATTTAGTCCATGCGATCTCGAATCAGTGAAGTTATAAGAACCCAAATAAGATTTACGAATTCCTTCGGTGGTTATCGCTTCGCATAGTTCAGACCATTGAAACTTCCCATAGAAAACTTGGAAATACGCTGGGGCGGGAGTCTCTAGTTTGAATGATTACATATACTCTTCATTATCCTTCTCAACGAGCGTATGTATGACGGGTTATCCATGACACGTGTAGACTCTTGGTACACGTGGAAAGGATTCTCGTAGAATCTAGTATTCTCGTATACTGCCATACTCACTCATCAGTTTTAAGCGGTCACTAGCACGTTTCAGTTTAGCGGATATTTGCCATTCGGCATCACGTAATACATACGAGACATGTGTTTTCGGAAACTCGATCCTAGCATCGACATTATATATTTTCCATATACATTAGTTAGTTGTAGCTCCAAGGGCCCAAATTTTGTGGAGCGTCCTGCATATTCCCACTGGATTCAGCGGTGACATGGTGAGAGCGTCTCCTTCAAACGAACCAACGGAAGGTAGAACTAACTGCCTCCTCATTCACCACTTCATCAGCAGGCCGGGGAGGAGCCACATGACCCTCAGATTTTGAAAAATGCAGAACGCTCTGGTTGTTTTCACACCATAAAACATGCAATCTCGCATTCACTTCGTTCGAGTTCGGTACTCTCGTAACAATGAATGCTATATATTAGTTCTCTTCTCCAATCAAAGCGGTCGGTAACGGTCGTTAATAAAGTCAGAAAAAACGTCGATTTGGGAGCTAACACCGTGCGTTCGACCCGTCCGAACGAGTCGGTTGTTGGGAAACCTTCCTCTTTCCAAGTCTAGCTGGATCAGCTATGTAGACTCACTGTTCAATTTGCTGTGGTTGATGAGGAAAACACCAAATTGTTGAATTATTGTATTCAAATTTCCATTGGATAATTTACAAAATTTCAAATCGTTATTTGAGAAACTTAATAAATATTTCATAAATTATATTTCTCATCTTCATCAAAATAAACGGTTTTCATTCGACGTTACCTCAAACGGAATAATTTTCAGATTTATGTTGTTGTGACCTGAAGAGGGTCATTATTCCATCATAGTTGAAGTCTTTTAGATATCCTTTCAGTGTTGATATTTTTTTATGTGGATTGAATCCTCGGAAGTTGCTGTAATTGATGTACAGAGTAGTGATTGAATCTGAAAATAAAACATATTGGTTAGTTTTTAATTTGAATAACTTTTTTACCCAGTGATATTAGCGGACATTTTTCATGCATTTGAAAATTCTAAATATTCTTGCAAAGTTACCTTTTGGGTTTAAGTTTTATTACCATACAGTGCATACGTGAATTGTCACTACATCATAACTTTTGAATGGAACAAGCTTTCGAAATGGGATAGAATTTCAGTAGTTGTTGGAAAAGATGTGTTGGGCTGATTGATTTTTGGAAATCTATACAGCGGTCATAAGAATTCGCCAACATACAATATTATCATGATTTTGAGGAAAAATCATTCAAAACTCACAGCGGTTCATTTCAATGAATGTTCAAAATGCTTTTCATTCACTTCTCGTCAATATTGCAGTCTGTTTATAATTTGATCCCCCACATTATGAAATGTTCATGAGATGATTTTATTGTAAACACTTATTTTCATACCCACTATTTCTGGATGGCGGTTTCATATCGTACACTTCAGATGTCACGAATGCTCGAGAAAATATTTGGATGTGTCATATCAGGTGACATAACGGTCCTTTCCCAAGGACTATATCTGCCTATCTACCGGTTTGTATAATCAACAAACTCAAATTAGTTCTCAATTGAAGTTACATTTCAGCAAGTGTCGTAACATACAGATATCCACATCTGAAAATCATATTCTCTTGATAAATTTAAAGACACACTAAGACCAATTTTTCCCAATTGTTGATGAGGTAACATGTGGAGGGGACATGAATATAAATTCATTCTGCAAATGCAGAAAAACTTCTAACAACTATAGAAACATTCAATATGTTTCAAGTTGTGGACAGTCCAACAAGGGTCACTATTGTAACCTCTTCACTTTTTGATGTTATCATCAAGAATAATTTGTACATGTGAAATCTCTGGTCACATGCTTATTTACTGTAAAATATCTGGGGAGAAGCAGGGACCAAAATATCATCCTTACAACAGCTTTCAACAATTTGATGAACAACTTTTTCAAAACGACATTTTCAGTTTGATGAGCATTCACCAATTACTTATAATCTTAGAGATACGTCGAAAACTCACGATAACGCACTAAAAATATCTGAATTAACTCACTAAGATGCACATTTGATTATAGGGATATGCGAAATTACGTTAACAACGTTGTGGAAAGAGAGGAAAAGGCATATTTCCCTCATCAGTTCAACTCTCTTGATGATAAAGAAATATGAAAAAAAGTATTATTATATTTTCCGATTCCGGAGAGGGAGCCTGAAAATCAGCTACCAAGCCTAAGGCAGCGGGCGCACACAGGATGGTTACAAATAAGGCAGCAGGCGCGCGTGTTAATAAAAAAAATACTTTTTTCAAATGAAGAAATACATGTAAAATGAATTCGAATTACGTACAGCGCCATCGGCCCGTGAATAGATCAAGCAAAGATGTCGCTATATCAAGGAGGTTACGTACAGCGTCATCTACCCGCGAATAGATCAAGCAATAATGTCGAATAATTCTGTCAAATACAGATCTCTAGAGAGTTACAAACAAACATACATGCATACATATATACATATGAAGCTAATAAAAACGTGTTAAAAAAGTATTCAATTTAATTGTAGTTGTGGCTCAGTATTTTGCATATAGGCTACCACATAAGAGGTAGATATATGGTATCGCAGACTTTTATTTAGAACTATTTAAGATAAACAATCTTACGGTACATTATCTGCATGTAACTTCAACGTTATAGGCAGCGCACGCCAAGGTAACTCTCAAGGAGCAAGAATTTTTCCGATTCACTCAATACTTATCGTTATATTATGACCAGAAGTATACAAAACCTTTGTGAATTGTAGCATATATGTTATTCTGATTTATAAACTGTATCTATGTGAAGTTTCATCTAAATCCGTTCAGTCGTTTATGCGTAGAAAAGCCACCAACATACATTCATACATACATACATACATACATACATACAACCTCACAACCTTTCACATTTATATTAGTCATTATTCAGGACGATTACATGAGGCAATATCACTTCTGGGCTCATATCTCTGTGAAAGGTAATATAAAGTAGAAATTGATAATATTCATTTCCCAGGGATACAAACTCAAATCTTTTTTGTTTACAATGTATTATAATACTTCAAATCTATTGACTTGTCTAAAGTATTGCTCGTCTGATCTGTAGGCTGATGATAAATAAGTTTTTCACCAGCTGCAATAACAGATGCATGTTCTATTATCAATAGTGACTCAAAAATATTTGTGCTAGCTACACGTAACCATTATCTCAAAATCAATCCAAATAAGTCAAAAGTTGTTAAGTTCACATCGAGAAATGACAAAAGAATTGTTAATGACATGTACATTGAGACTAACAACGTAACACAGTGGAGGTATCAAAAAGTTTTGTTTTATTTTCAGATTCCAGGTTTGAAAAACAAATTAACAAAATGATACAACAAGCGTATTCTTCTTCGTATTCATACGGAAACAAACATATTTATTCACTATCGGAAAAACAGCTCTGTGTGAAGCTTCAATTCAATCCTGGAGGTGCATCATTTTTCGGGTCTACTTCGAATTGAGGCAGCTCCTTCCAAGTACACTTCACTACTCCAAACGAATAAAGTGACATTGAAACGCAGGCATATTTGTTGTAGCAACTTTGTTTCTCCCCGAAATTTCCGAGGACATAAAGTTTAAGATCATCCATATAAAACAAATGGGTAATCTTGTGCCTTCAGTTTTCAGGTGTGCCACAGTTATACCCTCGAGTATTTATGAGCGCAACGGATACTGGCAATATTGAGATGCAGAAGATGAGTGGACTGAGGAAACCGACGTGAAATACACTCTTTCTGAAAATGACTCACCCTGTTTGGACTTTAGCCTGATCAGATGTTATGGTGAGGCAAGTCTGCCAGAGTAGTATCAATTGTTCGAAGCAAACCATTTTGTCATATACCGCAAGGCATCTAAGCTATATCAAGCGATAAATTTCGCTTGACGATCCATGTCAAAGCTTCGCTCTGCAACGAGCCGTCTCGTTCATCATTGATATTGGTGGTTTGAATCCTCCGTCGATCCCACAGATGGCGTCTAACCAAGAGAAGTTGTTCTTGCTAGCTGTTCAATCCAACTTTCATTAGTCCAGTCATAAAAATTTGAGTGAATCAGGAGCTGATGTAATTAATGAAAAATTTACATTATTTTTAGGTGTCATTCTCCAAAATGAAAAATGTATCCATTTGAAACGTTACTAAACAATAAATGCGTTTCACTGGAAATGAATTTCTCTTCGCCAAATAACCAAACCCAACACGTCGAATATCAGATGCAATTAGATTAGTTGCAAATATAATTTTAGGCTTGGTAACTTTTTTGCCCTCATTTGGAAAATTTTTAGAAAAAAAGTTTTGAAAGTACCGAAAAAACATGCGGTTCAGAAAAAACATTTTCTACATGAATCAAGAGAAGTCTTCTCAAAACAATTAGTTTTCACATAATATTATTTCATTATACGAACCATAAAGTTTGTTTAATTGGTTTTGTCTATTTGATTCCCTTATTTTTTCAGCTCGGAGAAGTATATCTTTATATTTCGTCGATAAGTATTTTGAAGCCTCTTCTTCTGTCACTGCTACTTCATCTAACGCACTCAGAAGACAGAATTCCTCTGATATTTTTTGGGACGTGAGTAACTTTTCTTCGATGGTTTTCAGCATGAAGTTGACAGACTCGTCGTTGATACCTAAAAAATGCAATGCATTAACTTCTAAAAGAAGTCATCTACAACACAAATAGAAACTTCAAACTCCAAAAATCATAGAATATTCCGTAGTTAGTATAACATAATGAATGAAAGAGATACAAGGAGTATTGAATTCATCAAAAAAATCTAATTAAAAGAATTAGTCAGCCAAATGCTGTTATATTCGGCTATCAAATTTTTTTGGCTTCGGGCTTCGGATTCTTTGAATGGGACATTAATTGTTATATTATTTGAGAGAGAAATCAAAATATAACATTATTTCAACATTTCGACACAGTCCTTCCCTTACAAGGGAAGTAATGAGAAAGTCTGTTCTGTTATTGTTTGGCCATTTCAACACATGGAGCAAGAATAAAGTTGGATTTGAATAGTTGTAGGAAAAATTCATTCGAAAAAACATCATCGGGAAGTTGATTCTAGACTTCAAATGAATAAGTTTTCAAAAAGTTGAGTTCGACATGTATTGAGTTGAAGTTATGGGCAACTAAAATCTGCCGCGTAGTTCTGTTATATGTAGCAGTCGGTGGATTGAAGCAAATTAATTCAGTTAGGTCTGACAGTTAGTTTGTTCAGTTCTCTACTACAAATTTATTTCAATTTGAATTTTTTTGTTTGATTTTCTGATTCCATACTGTCGGAAGACGAACATTTCAGTTTTCTCACAGCTTTGGTTGAACCACAATCCGTCCGTTAGAAGATTTCTTCATTGATATGATGATGGATTAATAGACTTACGACTCACGAAGCATGTTGAAAGGTCATCGAAATTGAAACAAACGTTGAACCAATGAGAAGTTTGCAAAAGGTCTTGAAAATCATTCGATTTAGCAGATTTGTAGTAATAACTTTTGTGCGGTTAAGACAGTTTGAGTTTAGATACTGTCGAATCTGTTATACAATCCATTACACAATCAAATAATAAAAAAATTCAATGAAGCGAAGTTTCGAAGTGATCATTTCAGGTTGGCAGAAATGAAACATGCACATGACAAATCACAAAATGAAAATAAAATATGATAATGCATCAGATTATTTATTTTTTTAATAATCGATGTATGACTAGTTACTGTTTATATCTTTCACGGTTTGTAAACATTTGGAGTTTATTCAGCAATATCAACAATATCGTTTATAGTATGTATAGTTATCATGATGTCTTTAAATTTTTCTGTTACAGTGTATGCTGATGCCCAAAGTAGAAGGACTATTTTTTCAGTTCCTCTGTTCTCTTTTTTTCATGTGGACCTGAAGGGAAATTTTGTGTATATTCTACATGTCTTTGATAGTAGTTGATGTATTTTTTTCCTTTCTTCTGAAATTTTTCGCTTCCCTTATAACGGAGAAAGTATAAAGTTAAAAGATTTTTCTCTAAAACTCGTTTTTATAACTGAAAATGCTCGAGATGTACGCGGAAATCAGATCACGAAACTGATTTATGACATCGAACAGACGACAGTCCGATGAGTATAACAAACCGTTAATATTTTTGGAATGAGGCAATATTTCAAATCTGTACCAGATCCCCGACGGACAGTAAGAAAGGAGCGTTAGAAAAAATGTGACAATTCGAAAATTAAATAAATAAAAAATTAATTATTTATTTGAAACCACTTGACACGAAGTCGCTCTGATTTCCACTTGTTTTTTGATATATAAAAAAAGACAGAATTTTATATTTTCAATATAGGCTGAAATCACTGATGAAAATCAATGTAATTATTTCTGCTTCCAATACAAAACGTGATAAAATAAGATGAATCTGTCAGAAGATACACAGATTTCAGAAGTTTTTATGGTTGCACTAATTTCAACAAAATGTGGTTCAATTGATTTAGTTATCGCTCATTCAATACTCACAGATATTGACGTCAATTTTTATTTTCCGTTTTGTAGCATCTGATATTAAAGTCTCCTTGAGAATAAATATCGTTGAAATGTTATCGGACATGAATTCTGCTTCCCCCTTTCTGAAATGAAAAGAATTCAATCAAAAACAATAACCAATAATAACAAAAACTTTTGTAATCAATCGCAAGTCAAGTATAAAATATCGAGCGCAACAGCTCTTGACTCTATGTTTCTCGAACGCGTTATTCCAAATGGGTGACATATGATAGAAGATCGCCTGTTGATCTTTGTTTTCGAAAGCCATATTGATGACCACTCAAGATGTTGAAACCTTTCAAATATTCATGGTGGTTTACGGCTTTCTTCATGATCTTTGATATCACTGATAGCAAAGCGACTGGTCTATAGTCGTTGGAAAGATTAGGCATTAACAAACCTAGTTCGGTTTTTGATACTGAAATTTCTGTGCCACTGCCGGTAGGCAAGATTTTTGGAGACGACAGTTTGCTAGCAGTTTTTGGTGAACCAAAGTTTGCCGTTAGAATTTCGTTCCATAGAAAAAAATATATGCATCCATGGATGATAGAATAACTTCTATTACTTCAGAAACACAAGTTGATGGATCATTGAAGCTGGAAGAAACATCTAGCCAAGGGACATTTTGGAAATGATCTTAAAAATCCTCCCAGTTAGCAAATCTGTAATGCCAAACTTTGCGCGCCTTAAATTGTTTCCCAACATTTATCGGTAATTCACTCAACACTGAAATGAGTTTGTGGTCAGAAGATTCCATGGAAGACCTTAGGGTGATTGTGTAAATTTCTTGGTTGGTTGTTAGGTTTAGATCCAGAAGACTAGCATATTCTCCATCACAGTCAGGAATACTGGTTGGATCATTCATAATCTTAGTAAGTCAGCTGCTTATTGCAAAAGCTTCAGCTTCGCGATCTTATTCGTCGTTGATATGAGAAAATTATTTGAAATCCTTAGAAACTCATAAGGATAAGCATTGCGGATGTAATCCGCTAGATGATCAAATCGATCTAGTTTACTCACCAGTTTTCAAATTAGCATATCCACATTGCCACAGATAAACAAATTTCAGGTACTCAATTAAGTTAAGGACCACTCTCACTACCTACAGTGGATATAAACGGGCCAACATTATGATTTATTTTCAGATTATTGTAATTGTTTGAAAATTAAATCAAATACGAATAAAAGGGTTAAAAACATAGAAAGTTTTATTTCCCAATTTTTCATATATAATTGAAAATTGTAAATATTGAATCATAAAACCATGTCAACTTCGAAGTCAAAGTCCTCGAATTCACCTTCCCATTGACATTCAATGTTGCGCGAGGTCACATCCAGAATCATTTTGGGTCATAACCAAAATCTTTCTGAGTGATCATTTTGAAGTCAAGTGGTATGAGGTCGTTTCAGAATCGACTTGAACTAACTACTGTTATCATCGAAGTTGAATACACCAGTCAACAATGAAATTATTGTTTCCAAAAATCGACAATTTATTGATGATATTGAATGAAAGTCTTTTTTTGTGGGAGAAATTAGAGTTTTTATTGACGTTTTTTACGGATTGTCACCTTCCTCAATCTGGAAAAAATAAAAATCGTGACGGAGAAAACAAGTTCAAAATGGACAAAGTTCTGAGTTCATCCAAATAAATTACTGGTGATTTCCCAAAAAATATACTCACTGGTATCTACATTCCAAAACTGAATCTACAATTGTAGAACCATACCACAAAATGGTTTTCTCAGTTGAACAGGGTTTTTCAGCAACTTCAGGTAAACACTGTCTCACCCATGCATGAATTTCTGCCAAACTAAATAAACCTTTCAAAATAAGGGTGTTGAATGGTCTGAAACAATATTAGGTTAGGTTAGGAAATAAATCTGATCATCCTTACTTTTTGCAAATTGATTGAATACTTCATCGAACTTTACACATAAAAATCTACCGTGGCATACAAAGTGAACTATTTAAGTAAGATGTATTGGTCACGAAGCCGCGTTAAAACAATAGAGCCCCGTCAAACTGTTCTGTTCCTTAAATGACATATTTTGAGACACCCTGTATACATTGAAGAATCGCATGCTAAAACAACTATCATGTTTTTTCTTGAATGAGACATCCTGTACATATTGAAGAATCTCACGACAAAACCATAGAACCCCGTAAATATTGAAGAATCACACGTTAAAACAATAGAGCCCCGTTGAACTTTCTTGAATGACTTAATTTGAGACACCCTGTATATTTCGATGGCATCCATGTTTTTTTTTCAACACCCGTGACCATGTTTTTTCTTCAATCTAATTTTTTCATTCATCATTACTATTATACCGTTATTTTCCACGCTGACGTATTTGAGACACCCTGTACATGTTTTTTTTCTCTAACGATGAGACATCCTGTATCGCAGCCATGTTTTATTTGATTACGATGACAAATATTGCCCTCCCATGTGTTTTCTTTACCCTCACTCCCCCCATTTCCCAACTAACACGAAAAAACGCTTGTGACGTATTTTGAAATGTCATTGCAGAAAATCTGTTCTGTTTCTGTTTAAAATCTGTTTTTTTCCGTTAACCAGCTGTCGCACCCCTACGAACAACAACCCTCAGAAGTCGAAACTTGTGCGAGCTAAGGATTAACGAGGTCTTACCTTTTAACGTGTGATTCCTAACACCCTCATTACCCCATTTTCCAACGTTTCTCATTGGGATTGCCCCCTGGCATGTTTCTTTTTTCGAATGAGACACCCTGTATACATTGAAGAATCATACGTTGAAACGATAGAGCCCCGTTAAACTGCCATGTTTCTTAAATGATGTATTTTGGCACACCCTGTATATTCCGCTCAATGTCCGCCACCATGTTTTTTTCTCAAATGATGTATTTTGAGACACCCTGTACACACATCGAGGGATCGCGCATTGAAATATAACAGTCCCGTTAGACTGTCATGTTCCTTAAATTATATATTTTGACGCACCCCTGTATACTCCACTCAATGCCCGTTATATTGCCGCCATGTTTTTTTTAATACCCTGTATTTGTTCTCATTCCAAACGCGCTCGAATCGTTATCTTCCAAACCGCGATAACGCTGCTCGATTCTCTGCCGTACGCATGACCTTGAAAGGAACCAAAAATTGCAGAATGAACCTTAGCTGTTTTCCCATGTTAATCTCCATAAGAAAACTTTTAGAACCGGCCTAGTACCTTCACTCCCGTAGAGAAGAGGAGAGAATCCCTAACGACACTGGGGACATACTTAGTCCCATGTTTCGTGTGCCTGATGTAACAGGTAATGAGGAAAAAGGACGTTATGTCAAAATGTATGTACCACAAGTATGAACACAAGAAGATACTCTACGCTTGATGCTTCTGAACCGCAATGAGGATAGTACAAACCAAACTATAACACCCGATGGTTTTTACAGAGAATGCTCATATCAATGCAGAAAATCTAAAAAGAACTCATAGATGGTTGAATAAAACCATATTTATGCTAGGCACTATAAGATACTCTCGAAACGACCTCAGGTCACAATGAATAACTCGAATAAATTCTGGCAGGTATTTCAATGAACACAAAAACTTTCGCTTTATCCTTCCCCGGGTCAGAAATAGAAAATCTAACAGGGTGAAAACATTCAAATCTACCACTTAGTAGATTTGATTGAGGGAGATTGAATGAATCCTGAACTTATTTGAGCTATGTGAAATGCCGAAGCTAAATGGTATTCATCCATGCAAAAAGACTGGAACTAGGTAGGTATAGCGTCACTAGAAAAAGTGAAATGCTCTCAAAAATGGGGTCCACAGTTACCCTCCCTCAGGACTGTTTCCCTAATGGGAAAAAGAGTTAATAATGACGTCACTGGTGTTGCGTATTGAAGTTGAGGTGGAGACTTAAAGTAATCATTGTTCACCAAATTGAAATATATCAGTCAGACAATGACGTCATGAATAAATAATTCGTTAGAACTGGTTCGATTGATGACGTTTTTTTTTTAGAAATTTACATTGGATTTAAAATGAAGAAAATATCTTTCGTCTAATTCCTTCTAAGTTTATCATTTGTTACGACCGGTTTCGGTTTATTAGACAATTTTCAACAAATAATAAACTTAATAGAAATTCGACAAAAATTTTCTCTTTCTTCTATATTCAATTCATTGAAAGTTGAACTCAAGTTGGTACGAGCCATAACGCGCGTTGGTACGAAACCATAACGCGCATATTCACTAAAGTTATTCATTTGAAGAGTGAGATATGTTGATATTTGCTTCAAAATTTTGCAAAATTTTGCTACAATTTTTTTTTTCACTTTCATGGTCGAAGAAGGCAGAATTAGATTCATTAGCTGCGGGTACGAATTGACTATTTCCAATAAATTCAGCACTCCTCATTCTCCTCAATGAATTGAATAGCCCCCGAAGCGTAAATTGATACCGTCGTCCCGACAATAACATAGAAGTAGCGCAGAGCTGCATAATGTCGGTAGAAACACAGTTAGATAGCTTATCTGAACGTGCTGATAGCAAATGTATATAGGACTCGGTTGCCTCGTGGCAGACTTTTGTGTCAGGAATATATTTATTCATCACGCAACTGAACAAAGTGTTGAAGAAACTATGCGGGTTTTATATGAACACTTCGCTAACTAAGTTCCATCTAGGTGACTGACATCTTGTTATGTCCTTTAGTGTCATAAATCGAAGCCAAATTCATCAGCTACTCGAATAGCTGCCTTTTGGTGATCTTGAAATTTGGAGAAAAGATGACTCCTTGGGCTCCATAAACATCATTATTTCAAAACTTCAAAGTTGTCAAAACATATATAACGGTGGAACGGATGATAAACTCTTTCAGAGTCTAGTTCATTACTACAAGAATGAAGTGGGCGTGTGATGGCAAGCATCTTCATTACAGCAAATTTGTTTTTCTCTGATATTTCTGACAAGATATGTTGAAGTGTGTGCTGATACTTTCCGTCAATACTTTTTGGGAGTGGCATTATTTCTAACCAAGGTGTCTTTCTGGATTCCAAGTGGTGTAGTATGCTTCCATTTAGAAGTTGCACATACTCTCTGTATTCTCTACATCGTCTTTTTGTCATAGACCGTAGCAAATTTCTTTATTTCGAATTCCATATCGATTCGATGCCATGTATGTACTCTCACTTATGTGTCGGGGTTTGTCGGATAATGTCTGCATCACGCAACTACGGTAGTCCAATGTGTTTGACACAGCATCATAGCCAACCATGGTGAACTCCTCACTTTCAGATATACAACTACTTGATATGTGGAAAGGGAAGCTCAGTTAATTCGATGAGCAGGTATTTTCAATATTGTAGAAAAAAATTACATGCATCGGCCTATCCTTGTGTAGTCGCAGAAGTAAAAGAACATCTGTAATTTCGATATCAGCTTGTTGTTTAACGGATTCCAACTTGATGATAGTTTTGAGATTATCTTGTTTAGCTTCGAAAAACAAATCATATCTATTATCGCTTGGGCAACTGCCACAAAAAATCGCCCAATTCCTGGTTGTTTACCTTCTTTTAGTATTGTTGTTGGCAACCATATGGTACAGAATGCTGATTATTATCCTTGATTCGTTTTTTTACCGTCGAATTTCAAGGTTGAATTCTAACTCATATTAGTCTAATGATGAAAATATACTCATATGTTGCAGACTCTGAATGAACATCGAAAACTCAAGTGTTTTATTTTCGGACAATAAAATTTGTTACTTTTGGTTCGAATAATTGTAATTGTAGAAAAATCATCTCACCTATTATAATCAAATTGATATAATCTTTGATGTAGAGAAAGAACTTTTATCTCGTAGCACAACAGCCTGCTGCATTTTGGTTGTACCATCGGAGAAACGTAAGCCTGTAGAATCCCATACTTCCCTTCCACAGTTTGAATTTTCATCTCCAATCGGTTAGTATCCATTTGGCAACGATATGTTGCCAATAGGTAATTATCTGCCTGAAATTTCGCATATCATTAAAAATTCTGCCGGAGCAGAATTAAAGTTTCTGTTTTATTTGACAGTTACCCTCTGAATACTTGTCATTACAAGTAATATATTCAAGAAAATATTTAATGATGTATCACACAAAAAAGTTGTTACTTAAATATGAAGCTGTGAATGATTAGGTTAGGGAACAAAGACTTACTCGTATTTTGTTTCTTTTTATTTTTTCATGAATTGAGTTTGGACATTTTCTGTCTGACATCTTTCATCTGAAACCTGATATCTATTGTGGAGATTGATTTTATTCGAATAATATGTCGCTCGCTATCTACCGGATAAAACCTGCTATGTACGGTATAACTGCACTAAATCTAAGATGACCATAGAAACACATGGAAAGCAACATTTTAGGTGGTGTGGCGAAAATTAGTTTTTCACTCGAAGCCTTCACATTGAGCTCCTACTTTGAACTTATCAGTTCAACCTATTGCTTGAAAAGAAAGATATATGATGGAATTGGCCGATACTTGATGAAAATCCATAACTAACGTATTAAAAGAACACTATATTGTGAGATTTTCACTAAACGATTTTACAAAAACGCAACACGTGTTTCGCCTTGCAATGGCTTTTTCGAGCGTGTCTTTACTAACTCTTGCCTCAGTTAGTATTAATTTATATGGTATTCTCAATAAAAGAATGAATTTCCACAAGTATTATTCAAATATTTTTCATTCCTTTTTTAAATAATTTCAATAGTATATGTTGTTTCATGTCATAAGGAAGAGAATCATATAATTTTGGCCCAAGATAAAAGTAGGTTCACTTCATAATACTTTTTTCATGTTTGATAATTGGGTAGGTAACGTGATATTCTATTTCTTGTGTTATGGCTATAGTTTTATGATCGTAATTTATTTTTTCGTGAATGCTGACGAATATCAAGAATTTTTGTGAATTCGAATAGTACCTAATTCTGTAGAACACTTTTTTTGATTTTTGATGAATATTTTCTATTGTTTCAATTCCTGCTATATGACATCTCAGTGCACCCAATAGTAGACAATCTCCCTACCTGACATCGATTATATATCTTGAATATCTTCAATATACAATTGTCATGCATAGATCTTGACTTCAAATATCAATTTGAAAATCGAAATTGATCAAAAAACATGAAAATATCCGCATTTTTTGTATTGCACACAATGTACTCCCTCTTATTTTCTCTATGTTGTCCAAGAAGTAGATAGTTAGCCACTCAATATTTGTCATGGAGAATCTGATCATTTAGAATAATTTCCAGGAATTCTTACCTATACATTTACAAATATAAATATTTTCAAGCATCTGAATGAGTGACTTGAAATAGTGGTAGTATAAACTCAAAATTTTCTGTCTGTTATCCACACAGAATTGAATTTTTGCTAGAATATTCAATAATAATAATAATAATAATTTTTATTCCAGTCAGATCATATTTACATGATATTGGAACAGTCACAGACATAATGTATATATAAAATCAGATGAAATGACAATATTGGAAGTTTTGAAGGTTATAATAATAACCAGGGCATCCGAGTGTCATAACTCACGTTATCTCTCTGCTCACGAATTCTGATGTCATAGTAACATGAACATAATCGAATATGTACCCAAATATGTTCATTCGTTCATTCGCCGTGGAAGCAAAGAAATTGTCTTCAATAAATTTCGTTTCAAATTTGTGAAAGGCTTACACAGAAAAACAACCAAGGAGCTGTTTTAGCATCTCATAACTCAACAGTATGCAATAGATACTCTACAGTGATATACATCTATCAATCTGGTGAAAACATAACAATCTGCACTGATAGTAAACAAACCCAATTAGCATTGAACAGACAACGTGTTACCTGAGGTAGGTTAAAGGGTACGACAGGAGTAAAGGTAATCGCATTGTCGACTCTTTAGCCAAGGAAGCGGTTGGACTAAGAATTTTAGGACCCTACGGCCTGATGACTTCGGCAATTGCGGAACTAGCTAAACATCACAGCCATGCTCAATCCCTAAACAGATGGGATGGAATCAAAGGATGCAGTCTTGCCAGGATCACCCTGAACGACCCTTGGTAGCTGTCGCCAGAGAAATATATGGCGATGACCAGGAGAAATCAATGCTTAACAGTAGGATTTCTGACTGTCAACTAAGGAAACACCTCCATATTATTGGGCTACTGGACAAACCCCTATACAGAATGTGTGAACAGGAAGAAGAACTGTCGGGCGAGCGTCCGGAGTTATCGTCAATAAGAGAGTGTGTGTTCTCCTAGTCTCCTATCTAGTCTAGTCTAGTCTACCTATCCACCTTCCTGGAAAGGATAGGATGGTTGATGACCTAGGTGGACAACTCTTTGGGAGAATGTACACTGGGTCATATGTGGCCTAAGTGCTGAGGGCCTACACTCACCCTCCCTACTCTACAGATACAGATACAAATACATCTATCAAGAACAAGTAGGAAGGCCGTGAGAAAAAGAGGACGATTCATCAAAACACTTATAACTTTGTAAAATAGCATTCGTTAAATATTTTAATTCAACAAATACAATGAGATTTCAGTCTACAAGATCGTTCTAGTAACAGAGTGAGCATACTGGGTTGCTCGATTGGAAAAATATAGCCTTATGATTTATGAATTTTGCAAATTGTATTCGAAGACTTTCCTGAGCCACTGGATATCTTGAAAAACGATTCCATTTCTTGAGTTGGTTTGGTATTTGAGATGATCTTTTATCGTATCCATACGTTTGACCTTATCCATAGATGAAAGTAACATATAGACATCCCCAGTATACAGCTCAAAACTGAAACATCAGTCATTTTCAACAATTTGAACCCAAAATAACTGCAACTCGATAAGCACAGCGTTTCTGATAAAAAAGACAACGTTCAGTTCAAAGCCCCATCTTGCTGTCTGACTGGATTTTTGAATATGTGTTTAGAAACACCAATAGAGTTGTCAATAAGTTATAGTGTCCGAAATTCAATCTACACATTACCCAAACGACTAATTTTATGGCAGAAATCTGGCCTACAGATCTGACCGAAGAAGAAAAAGTGTTTTGAAAAAATTCATTTCGCAAATAATTGTTTCCTAAAAATTGTATGAGCTGTATGTCATAAAATGAAGAATTCAAAATCGTCTTCCATAATCCCATTTATATTCATCATATATCACTTTTTGCTCAAAAACTAACCTTTCCTAAAAAATGTCCCACTTTTAATTTGAAAGAAATTCTTATGGCCATGATCAAATCAAATAACGGTATGAATTTCGTTACATATTATCATGTGACATGGGGGATACGTCTCTTCCTGTGATATAATTTTGTGGTTTCGTCTTCAATGAGGCGTTGAAAACAAGTGCTTTCGATTGGAAACTTCGTGAAGTGATTTCGTGTGATTCAATGTTCATGTGGAATTAGTTGTTTCGAAAGAACTTTTTCTCAGTTTGTTTTTTTTTGAAAATAATGCATAATTTAAACAAATATGTTAATAGTTCATTTCGAACTCAATTTCTATCTTCCTACCTTCGAAAATTACCCAAATTTTATTTATGAAGAATGAAAAGTGAAAAGCCAACAAGATTCTTTCACAAAAACTAATCTCACCAAAAACTATCCGTCTTCCAATTTGACTGAAATCATCCCTCACTATCTGGAATTCATAAATCATTCTTCACCTACGTTATATTTGTTACTTTCAAAAATTACTAAAATAGGGTTATTTTCTAATGTAGTGCGATCCATAGAGATTATTTCTTGACCTAATGAGTTTGGTGCGAACTAATCGGTCTGAAAGAAGTTTATTCCAGATCCTTCTGAGGTCATGATCAGTTTGACACAAGGTTTATCAAAAAGACAAATACTGCGCTATCAAGAGATCGAAATGTCCCTTTAACTGGAATTGTATCAGTATGTACTTATTGTGAAGGATATTATCGCAAGGGGTATCTGATTAAAATATTGACTAGGTTATATAGCAAATATTATTGGAATTACTCGAAGAATTTACTGGTACAGCTGACATACTCGTATATGATGAAATTTCTGCAACGATTATTTCGAATTCACCTGTCGAAGTTCTAGAAATAATAGTGGCTTCATTCAATACTGGGGTGTTTCCACCTTCCCTGAAAACTTCTATAGCAATCCCCTTACATAAAGGAAAGAATTTTGATTATCCCTCTATAATCGACGCCCTATTTATCTGATCCCAACCATAGCAAAAATAATTGAGAAATTGGTCAAAACATTGGTAAAACAACGTAAGTCCCAGGGACGGGGGCAGAACCCTACAGGTGTACCGTAGGGTTCTGTCTTGGGTCCCATTTGGTTTCTATTATATGTGAATGATTGGACGACGATTTATATATCCGATAATTTCACTCTCTTCGCAGATGATACTACCATTTAATGGAAAAAAAACACAATTGAGTTGTATTAAATGATATTATCAGACTTGGATAAAATAAATGCGTGCGTTGTGACGCTAATTTGCTGTTCCTGAATGTCACGAAATCTAATGTAATTTCATTCACATGCTCGCTTAAGGAACTTCCCGTGGACAATCGTTTCTTGCAAAATGAATTAAACGCAAAATTCTTGGAGGTATCTATTGATAATAGACTAGAATTTGATGAACACGTCAGACAGTTCAGGAATAAGTAATCCACCGGATGTTATGCAGTGAGAATGGTCTCTAAGGCGCTGGATTTTAGTATTGCGAAAACTGCCTACTACGCTTCAATTGATTCCCAACTTCGATATGGAATACCGTTTCGGGGAACATGTAGTCCATCTTTTCTTTCTGTACTTGTATTATAAAAAATAATCAAAAGATGCTTTCGTAATTTCAAATCCGAAGATTAATGCAGATAACTCTTCACAACCAATAAAATATTAACGGTCTTACCAATGTTTATCTCAGAGACGGCGAACGTAAATTTTACAAAATTTAACTCGTTT